TTATGTGACATCCCCATTTTCACGGCCAGAAAAGACCGATTTTGTTTATGCTTTGTTTAAAAATAGAGTAACATTTTAAATAAAAGTGTTGCGGAATTTGTTCCCAAAATAAATATGATAAAGATTTATCAAAGCATTTCCGTAGAAATGTATTTCATTAAAAACCTCGGGATGTCATGTTCGATACAGAAAAAAGCATAAACAGTACAAATAAGCCTTACTACATTTTTCATATTACATGCCTATATCGTAATCTCTCATCCCAAACATCATATCTATGCTCGTGCGCCACTACCTGTAATACAAGAAACTGAGTGGGTCAGGCTGGGAGCCTGGTGAGCACATAGGGTTTTCAACCCACAATAAATAAGTTTATTAATTTCATCAATCAACAATAACCCGATTACCCGTTCCCGTTTCCTCACATTACGTCCCTAAAACACCTATCATAAGGGACCTAGACTAAGGATCAATATCGGGATGGACACTACTGCCAAGGGGTTTCCTCAGCAATAAATGTCCTAAAGGCAACCATGAGGGGGATGGAGTACACCGGTGAACACATCGTTCACAAACACCTACAGGTTGCGAGCCTGCTAGCGTTCCACTGGACTGTCTAGAAGAGTCCGTGGTCGTCATCCATACTCCGCTAGATGACAAGAATCAACAAACAACAACATCGAGGCCTCTCATTTTTATCACACATGTCTTATTACATCTACCCATGTTTTACCCCAACATTTTTGTAGATATAAAATACATATACAGTTTAAATAATTTAAACTGTATAAAAATCTTTCATCAGTATAGGCAGCAAGTATTCAGATAATATGCACACATAGCACGTAATTAATATAAAATACTTCATATCTATGTGTAAGATGAAAGTAACTATGCACTCACCTGATTAGGTGGTGACTCGGTACTGAACAGCACTTCGTTATCTCAAAAACATTTTTCCTTGACAAAAACCTAGTATTAATACCACTAGCGTTTAGTTTTAACGTTAACCGCGACTAATAATAGTCTGCTATTATTATTATTATATAAGCGTTAAATAACACTCAATATATAAATAATAATAGCCGAAATAATTATTTTAAGGACCTAATAACATTACTATAATTATTTAAAGGTTATATTAAAATTTCGTAGGCGTACCTTACTTACAGCGGGTTTTTTTTTCTCAAAATCGGGCTTCGCTGGAGCAGCGTTTCCGAGCCGAAAGGTTCTTTTCTCGGGACTCCGGGGAGCCTCGGGACTTCCTTCGGGTGCTAGGGGGTTTACCTAGACTTTAGGGGCTCAAGGGAGCTTAGAGAGAGAGTTTAGAGAGAGAAGTGGAAGAGAAAGGTGTAAGAAATGAAGAGAAACCCGACACTTCTATTTATAGTGAGTTGGGGCATGTGGTGGCCTTCTGGTGGTGCCACTTGTCCAAATTCTGGTGGTGTCACATGTCCAATTTCTGGGTGGTGCCATGTGTCCAATTTCTGGTGGTGCCACATGTCCAATTGGTGGTGCCACGTCACCCAATATCGCGTATCGGCCTCCCGTCTTAGAAAAATCATAACTCTCGCATACGAGCTCCGTTTTTGACGTTATTTATATCCACGCGAAAGGCGGGAACGTAATCTACAACTTTCGTTTAGACTCCGTTGGCTAATTTTGAATTTATTTAAAAAGTTATATTTTTAACAGGCCGGGACAGGATTGGTCCGTTAAAAATTCATAACTTCTTCATCCGACGTCCGTTTTCGTCTGTCTTTTTATTGTTACGCCACAATTAAAGATCTTCGATTCTCGTTTAGGTCGTGTCGGCTAAAAACTCGCTTTATCATAAATTCACTATTCACGCTTCCGGTATCGTGCCGGTTCCGTCGTGAAACTTCGTCGGGTCATAACTTCTTCGTTATAACTCGGATTTCGGCGTTCTTTATATCTCCGGAATCCTTGTTTTGACCACTACAACTTTATGTAAAGATATCGGGCTTATCTCATATTTTAATTTTGACGCTTATTTTATTCTTTATTAATTATACATTTATAATTAAATAATAAGCACATAAATTCACAAAATACTCAAATATTTCATTTTTATTACATCAAAAGAGTTACAATAGTTGACCTAGACTATTACATCGTCTAAAAATGCTTAGCCCGAAACCCGGGCGCGGGCGTTACAATTCTCTCCCCTTAGGATGATTCCGTCCCGGAATCATGCGTCAGCAAACAGATGCGGATAGCGACTCATCATGTCATCCTCTGTTTCCCAAGTGAGATTCGGCCCATTCGAATGTTTCCATCGGACTAGCACTAAGTCGATCTTGCGTCGTAACTTCTTAATCTTACGGTCAACAATTGCCTCGGGCTCTTCGATTAGCCTCTTATTCTCATCCATTCTTAACTCCGAGATCGGAATTATGTCGGGAACTTCTCCCGTGAATTTCCTCAGATAACATACATGGAAGGTGTTATGAATACCATCGAGTTCTTCGGGCAATTCCAGCTTGTAAGCTTGGTTCCCAATCTTCTGAAGAACTTTGAACGGTCCAATAAACCTTGGACTCAGCTTTCCTCGTTTCCGAATCGTATAAGTCCTTTCCACGGTGAGACTTTAAGCAAAACGGAATCCCCAACTTCGAAGGTCATCGGTCGTCTTTTCTTGTCAGCATAGCTCTTCTGACGATCCTGAGCTGCTAACATCCTTTCCTTTATCACCTTCAGTTTCTCAGCAGTCTCATGGATTATCTCGGGGCCCATAAACTGCTTTTCTCCAGCCTCAAGCCAACAAGAAGGCGTACGACACTTTTGTCCGTACAAAGCTTGATAAGGTGCCATCTTGATGCTCGAGTGGAAACTGTGTTGTAGGAAAATTCTACCAAAGGTAAGTGCTCATCCCAGTTACCTTGGAACTCGAGGGTACATGCTCTCAACATATCTTCAAGCGTTTGAATCGTTCTTTCACTCTGACCATCAGTCTGCGGATGGTAAGCTGTACTCAGACATAACTTCGTACCCAATTCCTCTTGTAGACTTCTCCAAAACCTTGACGTGAAACGACTATCACGATCCGATCCGATACAATTGTTAGAGGAACACCGTGAAGTCTCACAATTTCCTTCACGTAAGCATTTGCAAGCTTATCCATAGACCACCTTTCATTGGCAGCTATGAAGTGTGCACTCTTTGTGAAACGATCCACGACCACCCAAATCATGTCGTGACCGTTCTTCGTCCTGGGTAGTTTAGTCACAAAATCCATGGTGATGTCTTCCCATTTACCCATGGGTACAGGTAAGGGTTCTAAACTCCCATATGGTTTCTGATGTTGTGCCTTAACTCTTGCACAAGTTACACACTCGGCCACATATTTCGCAACGTCGAGCTTCATCGTCGGCCACCAGTAGTAGGGTTTTAGGTCCCTATACATTTTAGTGCTA